GTCATTTTGTCCAGCTAAGAGTATATGAAGGAGCAAGTAAAATACTAAAAGGGTGGCAACAACCCCAGGAAAATATGCTTTAACCAAATCAGAAGAGATCCCAAATCGTGATGGGGGAGAATGGGGATAAAAAGAGGTTAAGAAAGAAAAAAAAAAAGAAAGAAAGAAAGAATTAAAAGAAGAAAACAAATAAAGAAAAAATATAAAAAGGAAAAATATATATATATTAGATAAACTAGTTTAAAAACGTTAAAAAAGAAAAGGGTAAAAGTTAAAACATTTTAGCAGAAAAAGAGAAAAAAAATTGAAAAAGAAAAAAAAATTAAATTAACTGCAAGGCTAAAGAACCATGGGGAGAAAGCCGTGAGTTCCGTGCTTTGCTTTCTCCTCCTCTGGAATTCTGCTGCTCTCCTTGGTATTGAACCTGCACTCCTTGGTAGGTGAACTTGGTCCTGGCTGGATTTCTTGTTGATCTTCTGGGGGAGTGGCCTGTTGTAGTGATTCTCAAGTGTCTTTGCCCCAGGAGGAGTTGCACCGCCCTTACCAGAGGCCGGACTGAGTAATCCTCTCGGGTTTGCTTTCGGGAGCTTTTGTTCCCTGAGCGCTTTCCGTAGAGTTCTGGAGGGCAGGAATGAAAATGGCGGCCTCCCAGTCTCCGGCCCGAAGGAGCCAAGAGCCTGGGGCCCCACTCCTCAGTGTGCCCTCAGAGAACAGTGCCCAATTACTCCCGTCACCCTGGCCTCTGGCCGCACTCCGAGCTGACCGAGCCTGTGACCGGTTCAAGGTAACCCCGAGTTTAGAGCTCATTCCTCGGCTCTGTCTCTGTAGCCGGCTTCCCCGTTCTAATACCTGTAAGCTCTGCGACACTCAGACACCTCCGATCCTTCTGCGACCCTGCGGGACCTGAGGCCACGCTGACCCCGCATGGGCTTCACCCCGGTTAAGCCTCTGGAGCAATGTCCCTCAGCGGAACAGACTTTTAAAAGTCCTGATTTAGTGCTCCGCTGCTCTGCCGCTTGCCGCGAGCCGGCCCCTCCCCCTGCAGTCTATCTTCCTGTCGCTTTGGATTCACTTTCCACCAGTCCTACCTTTCAGAAAGTGGTTGATTTTCTGTTTCTAGAATTGCTGTTCTTCTTCTCTTTGATCTCCCATTGGATTTGTAGGTGTTTGCAATCTTTAGATAAGCTATCTAGCTGATCTCCCTCTACCTGAAGTAGTCTCAGCCTGCTACTTCTCCGCCATCTTGACTCCTCCCTCCAGTTCCATATAAATTTGAAGATGGTTCATTCTAGCTCTGTGAAAAGTGCTGGTGATATTTTGATAGGGATTGCATTAAATGTGTAGATTGCTTTGAATAGTATAGATATTTTGACAATGTTTGTTCATCCAGTCCAAGAGCATGGAAAATGTTTTTCCTTTTTTGTGTCCTCTCTAATTGCTTTCATAAGTGTTCTATAGTTTTCAGAGTACACACCTTTTACTTCTTTACTTATTCTTAGGTATCTTACTGGTTTTGGTGCGGTTGCAAATGAGATCAATTTCTTTATTTCTTTTTCTGCTGCTTTGTTATTGGTATATAGAAATGCCACAGATTTCTGCACATTGATTTTACATCCCGTGACTTTGCTGAATTCATGTATGAATTCTAGCAATTTTCGGTGGAGTCTTTAGGGTTTTCTACATGGAGTATCATGTTGTCTGCATAGAGTAAATTTTCACTTCTTCCTTGTCAATTTGGATGTCTTTTATTTCTTTTTGTTGTCTCATTGCTGAGGCTAAGCCTTCCAATAAGGATCCGGGAAAGGATGCTGTATTTTGTCAAATGCTTTTCCAGCATCTATTGACAGGATCATACAGTTCTTATCCTTTTTTTTATTAATATGGTGTATCATGTTGATTGACTTGCAAGTATTGAACCACCCCTGCAGCCCAGGAATAAATCCCACTGGATCATGCTGAATAATTCCCTTCATGTACTGCTGAATGTAATTTGCTAATATTTTATTGAAATAAAGAGCAACTGGGTATATGGAAAGAACTTGAACAAAAGACCAGAAGACGGGGATTCTAGCCCTGATTTTGGCACTAATCAGGATATAATCCTGGCCAGGATATTAATCCTGAGCTTCGGTTTCCACAACTGTTAAGTGAGGAATTGGACTATGTCATCTCTCATGGCCTCTCAAACTCTAAAATTTTTCAACTATATGAGTTGGAAAATCTAGCAAGAAATCATATATATCTGAATGTCTATGTATGCATACACATAGGTTGTATGTATATTTATAGTTACTGACATCTAATTTTGCTTTCAGTGAAGTACCAAATTTCTCCTTGATTTCTTTAACCTACCAATTATTATATTCTTAACCACTCGTTTTCTTCAGCCTTCACAGAAAAGTTTGGTTTGCCAATTAACATTGCTTATCAAATAAGTATATCCTAATAATGAATGTCTTAAGTATCAGGATTATTTTCAAAGTCTATGATCATTGGTCTCATGCTGACCTTTTTAGAACTGTTTTTCGGGGGCACCTGGGTGGCTCAATCAGTTAAGTGTCTGACTTCAGCTCAGGTCACAACCCCAGAGTCCTGGGATCAAGCCCCACGTCAGGCTCCCTATTCAGGGGAAGACTCCTTCTCCCTCTCCTTCTCCCTCTGCCCCTACCCCATTTGTGCTCTCTCTCTCTTTCTCTGTCAAATAAATAAATAAAATCTTAAAAAAAAACAAAACCATACTTTAAAAAAAAAAGTTTTTCAGGGGCGCCTGGGTGTCTCATTGTGTTAAAGCCTCTGCCTTCGGCTCAAGTCATGATCTCAGGGTCCTGGGATCGAGCCCCACATCGGGCTCTCTGCTCAGCAGGGAGCCTGCTTCCCCCTCTCTCTCTGCCTACTTGTGATATCTCTCTCTGTATCAAATAAATAAATAAAATCTTTTTAAAATAAAAGTTTTTCAGTAGTGTCATCCTGAAAAAAAGAAATATAGTATTTCCTAAAATCATATTCTTAATTATTACCAATATAATATATATTAAGTTTAAACATTAATTTTTAAACAATCTTACAGTTTACCTTTTCAGCTTGATATCAAGCCACAGTCATAGTATTATATTTACCAAGAACAACCTGTTACCATAGAAATGAGGCTGTCACATCACGATGATGTAACTATTGGCACACGCTGACTCTGGCTTCTGTGACTACTATTTGCAATTCCAGTGTACTCTAACCCAGAGGAACAATGAAGCCACAGCCTACCTTCTGTCCTTAACTAAACCAAAGGGAGACTGAGAAACAGCAGAGTGTTTTAATTGTCATCTTAACATAATTTATCTCTAACTTGTCCTGGCAAAAATAGGTTAAAAAGGATATTATTCGAGCAGATGAACATACTCTGAAAATTTTTTAATAATAACAGAGTTAGGTCAATCTGGATCATATTAATTTCAAGAAAAAAGTTTGTAAAGATTCTTCTTTTTAAATTTTTTTTAAAGATTCTCTTTATTTACTTGAGCAAGAGTAAGAGAGAGAGAGAGAGAGAGCACAGAGGGAGAGGGACAAGCAGACTCCCTGCTTAGCAGGGAGCTGACATGGGACTCGATCCCAGGACCCTGAGCCGAGGGCAGATGCTTAACCAACTGAGCCCCCAGTTGTCCCTATAAAGATTCTTCCATAAAAGTTTTATTTATAATTATTAAGAGCCTGTTATGCTAAAAACTATATACAAGGCACTTTGGGGCGTAAAGATGCAAAATAATAAGGGCTTATGTATCCTAGCACATTATTTTGTTTAATTTCCACAATGACACTCTGCAGTAGGTATTACCATCCCTTTTCTAAAGGGAAGATTGAGGCTCAGACAAGTCACAATAGGTGGTGGGATCTGATACAGCCCAAACACTTCGTCTGCCTCTAGTGCCTGCACTTTCAACCTGTGCTGAAAAGCTGGAGCATGTGAGGTCACAGGAGCCAGAAAGAGAGAATTGCCAATGAATTACCAGCTACATGAAAGGTTGTTGAGAGGTTGAAAGTGGGGTCTGTGGCGGGGGGAAAGCAAAGCAAGAAAGGAGATTAGGCCTGCTGTCACTAGTGACCTTCAAGAACAAAGTTTTTGTAAACAGGCAGAGGCAAGAACCAGACTGAAAGTGGTTGAGGATATAGAGGCAACATGTATGGATTCTCTTTATGTTCTAAAGCAAAGGACAAAGAAAAAAAAGGATGGCATATAGCATGAGAAGGAAGTGCCATATGAAATTGGTGCTTGAATATTTTGGTCATTGCAGATACAAGAGAAGGTAGTTTAATTAATGAAACTAGGTCCCAGAGAAGGAACCCTCTGACTACCAAGGAAGACAATGATGAATGGAATCAAAAGACGACCCTTAAAGAAACAAACAAACAAAAAACCATGCAGGGCTCCACCTCTGAGCTAGGAGGAGGGCAGCTGGAGGGCTGTGATGTCCATAGAGGAGGACGTGGGATGATTACCTTTTATGGGCATGGGGAATATGGTTCAGTGAGGAACAGGCCTACAAGAGCCTGAGAAATGTTTGGTAAGTGAAGTTCTAGAAAAAGGAGACCAGAGCAGCATTGAGAACAGAGGACATCAGTGACCAGTGTGATTTTACAGCAAAGACTTTCTCCAGCTCCCTCTCAAAGAGTGAAAACAGAGAAACTGGGCCGGGGATTAGGTTGTTTATGGGTGACTGAAGTGAGGGTGGAGATAAATGTTACTGGAATTGAGGCTGAGAAATTTTGAGGTCATCACACTGGAAAAGCATTACTACCTAGTCTAGATCCTCCAAGATGGTGGCAGGTCGGATTCTTAAGTTCCATGAGCCTAACACCAAGGAACTACTGTTAAACCATTCTTGCTGAGACAGTGTTTAATTAGAAGGATTTCAGATCGCCTAGTAAGCAAGTACTACAGATGAACTTAGAAAATTATGCAGACTTTTCAGCGAGGTTCTTTTTTTTTTTTTTTTTTTTTTAACTTTTAGATGTGAGCTCTGGTAGCTCAATGGATTGGGCCTACAAAAACGGAATACCCTACACATTTGCTTTTGAACTTCGTGACACTGGACATTTTGGATTTTTACTTCCAGAGGTGCTCATCAAACCAACCTGTACAGAGACCATGCTGGCTGTGAAGAATATCACAATGCACCTCCTAAAGAAATGTCCCTGAGATCCAAAGGTCAGGTCAACCACCAGACGGCTGGTTCTCTGCAAGAACTACTTGTCAATGGGGGGAAATTGTTTTTAAAAAGAAGGGCAACTTCTTAGAAAGAACATATCTGTGGACTTTAAAAGGACGTACTTTATGCAATTCAAGTTTCTGTGGCAATACAAAATTCGTTAAAAGAATCTGAGCATAGCCTAGTTTGCTGTAAGAGAAATCCTCCGTTTTATATCATTTTGAGTCATATTTGAGGAAGGGGAAGAGGGGATATTTTCAAGCTCTATTATCTCAAGAAATGTACAAATTAAGGATTTCACTGCAATAAATCTCCTTTTCTCAATTAAGATTTAGGCTACTAATGTTCAATCACTTTGTTTTCATTTGCAGTGGAAACTTTTGAAACAGAGACAACTATATTTCTTAATAAATACACAACTTATCAAGACCTTAGATTCTTCACATCTTCATAACCTGGCATTAGTGCATCATATACCTATAAAAATATACCAAGATAGAGCATTCATGTTTAGACTCTGAGAATACCAGTTACAAAAACAGAAGTAAACATTAATTGAGGTCCCAGACATAGCGTTAAGAGCTTTCCACTAATAATCTCATGTATTGCTCAAATACTATGAGGTAGATACTCCTATTAATCTCATTTTTTCAGATGAGGAAACTGAGACTTAGAAAAGTGATACAGGTTTCCATTTCCAGAAATATGACAAGATAGGTATCTGGACTGTTGGAAATAACCACAACTTCTGGAAAAAATGTAATTTTTTAAATCATCTTTAAAACATCAAACAAAAAAAGTAGGAAAACCTCAAGCAAGGCAGGAAACTGGAGAGCTAAATCATGCACTGTTATCCTGAGAGCATTTGTTAAGCCAAGTGGATGCAGACTTTGATTTTCACAGCATATTGGAGAATGGGAGCGGAGAACAGAACCCAAGGCTCTTCCAGGGTGGAAAGTCTATTAGCAGATTCTCCTCCCACCAGAATTCTAGGATTCCCAAGGCCTGTACCCTCAGGGCAAGGGTAAATTACAAATAAACCTCCAAACTGTATTCAATGGAAAATTGACTATTTCAGTTTTGGCAAGAGTAGGGAGGGGAGACACTGCAGCTGAATCACAAGTCATCTCTCTCTGATTTGTGGCCCAAATTCAGACTGTATAAATGGTATGATAAACATCTAGCCAAGAATTTAATCCAGACTAATCCCAGAATGATTATACCCCTCAAGTATTTGGTAGAAGGAAATGCAAATCCCCTTGGAGGATTTATCTGACCAAGACACATCATGAACACCAGGATGAAAAGATGAGCCTAAAAACTTCCAGAAGGGGGAAGAAAAAAATAATCACGAAGGAATGAGGACTAGAGTAACATGAAACTTCTCAACAGCACTAGTGAAGCGTGAAGACAATGGAGAAATGCATTCAGAGTTTTCAGGGGAAATTCTATCCTAAAAATCTTCACCCAGGAAAATGATCAATGAAATGTGAGGGTAGAATACAAACATTTTCATAAAATTGAGCTCCTAAATTATTAACCTTTCTCAGGAACTTCCTGAAGGATATGCTGTACCAAATTGAGGGAGTAAATTAAGAAAAATATGTAGGATCTCAGAAAATAGGAATTCCCACATAGGAGATAGGGATGGGAAAAAAATCTCAAGATAATGGTGAAGGGAAAAGTCCAAGTAACAGCTATCTACCAGGCTTAGAGAACCACCAACTTGGAGTAGAATAAAGGAGAGCTGAAGACTCAGATGAAGTTCTCCAAGATAAACACAAAACAGAACATATGTTCAGAGGCAAGTTTTACTTATATCAGAAAATCTGGTATATAAAATATATAATAAAAGCACAGAAACCAAGCAAGCAACAACAAAATGCAGTTGTTAACTTTGGTGAAAACACTGAGCTATAGAAGAGAAGAAATATAATCATGGTATACTCTATGACTTAGCTATAAACAATATTTATATAGTTAAGATAATATTAGCCCTAAATATTTACTTAACCAAAAACTATGATAAAAAAAGTATTTGAAGGGGAAGAAGAAGTAATGTATGTGAGAGAAGGGGTATAGCAGAGCTAAATCTTCATCTGCCATAGCAGAAGTCAATAAACATCTAAACCTGAAAGAAAAAGAAATCAAGTAATATCAGGATATGCATGTTATTTAGACATAAGAAAGTGAATTCAAGAAGAAATAATTTAGAAGATTAAGAATTACTGGACTAAGGAAGGGGAATTGGGAGTAAGGAAGGGTGGGGCTGAGGACTGCTGTTTTTAATATAAGCCTTGTCATATTATTTGACTGGTTTTGCTTTTTTTAATTATGAAAACATCACACAAAGTGTATTCCTTTTAAAGAAAGTGTTTTTTAAAGTGCACTCCCAACTATTTACCACCAAGTCTTTTTGATGTTTATAAAATGTACCTTTCAGTTAAAAAATTAAATTTAAATTTAAAAGAAATTTTAAATGAGATTATATGTGGAATGCTTAGCTGAGAGCCTCGAGTGTAGTAGATAATCAGGAAATACTAATTTTTTCTATGCTTTACAAATCTATCTTTTTATCTTGTAGTTTCAATTACATATTTGTAGGAAGGGATCTCAGGCAGATTTGAGGCTCTTAAGCCTGCTAAGAAGTAGTACATCTGGGAATTTAAACTTCAATTCATCCCATCTGCCAGTAAATGCTCAGAAATTACCTGGATTTGGGGATTATTTTATACTAGTTTTTTCTGCCCATAGAACAGGTGAAAACCCAAGTATTCAGAATAACCAGAAGGGCCAGAGGCTTATGAAGACGCTCAAGGATGGAAAGGTGCTGCTTCTCAAAGGACCTGACAAAGATGCACACAGTCACCTGTGTGGACCCCTGACTCCAGGAAACTCTTCCCTTTGACTGAGAGCATACTATGTAACTCTTGCTCTCTTAGCTGTCTCTGTCCACAACATTTGCTGGTGTCGGTTGATGCCTTTCGGTCAAACATTATCATCCCTGCAACAACGAAACAGTAAACAACACTTGCCTATTCAGAGAGGGGAAAGAATTTACAGATAACCCCCAAAATTCATCTTTTATTATATTTTTAATTTCCATCTATTCCATACCCTATATAATGAGATCAACTAGCAAATTAATACCAAGAACTTACATTTATATTATTTTATTATTTTTTTCCCCTGCCCTTCACATAGTGTAGGTACAGAGTATTTTTTCAAAGTCAAAATGAGGGCAACAGAAAATATACAATATGAATATCCACAAACTAGATGGGTATATAGTTTCTTTATTATCCACTTATTAATTCAGAATGAAATTTTGCCTTCATGAACATCATGTAAATTCTTTTCAGTGATTGCTCTCACATTTCTGTAGCACTATGTATATATTTTACAGCTCAAATTCTGTAAGTGGGCATTTTAATGTTTATAGGCTACTTTCATTTTTAATCTTTTAAAACTAAATCACAAAATGTACTGCTAGATGTATGTTCAAAGCACTCTGCTAGGTGCTATATGTGAGAAGGGGTGCTGAGAACAAAAAGTGTTTTATTTAAAAATATAAATCCTTGCTTAGGAATGTAAATGTTAACTTCAAACTAAAAACAGCACCTGCACTTTTTTAAATAGTTCAGCAAGACACTCACCCTCCCCCACTACTATTAAAAGCAATTTTATAGGTTCTGGTTATGTTGAGTTACAGCTCTCAGATAGTTTTAGTGACTATATTAGTTTCATAGGACTGCCATAACAAATTCCCACAGATTGGGTGGCTTAAAACAAAAGAAATTTATTGTCTCAGTTCTAGAGATGGGATGTCCAAAATCAAGGTCATGGCCATGCCCCCCGCCACCCCGAAACCTGTAGGAAATCACTCCTTGCCTCTTCCTAGTTTCTGACTGATTGCCCGCAACCTTTAATGTTCTTTGGGTTGCAGCTACATAATTTTGAACTCAGCCTTCCTCTCACATGGCCTTCTCCCTGTTGTCTTCTGTCCTCACATGACCATGTTTTCGGAAGGACAGCAGCCATATTGGATTAGGGGCCCATCTTACTTCAGTATGACCTCATCTTAACGAATTACATCTTAAATGACCCTGTTTCCAATAAGGTCACATTCTGAGGTACAGGCAATTAGAACTTCAACATATCTTTTTGGGAGGAAACAAAACTCAACCCGTAACAGTAGACAAATATCATGAAATACTTATGTTAATGAGCCTATTTACAAAGCTAAAAAGTGGTGAATCTTGTTTGAGATTAATCTTTTGTTCTCAAGCCTAATTGTTAGGGAATACATACAACAATAAAGCATATTTTTTAAAGTTCTAACACTCCCTCATGAGATTATTTTAATAGGCTATTAATGGAAACATAATAATCTATTCTTTATATTAATTTTTCAAATAATAAAATTATAGTTCAAATTATGATCTACTTTTCTTAACACAGGAAATGTGTTAGTTTTAGGTAGTGTCATATATTACCTTTGCTCTCAATAATTATGTTGAGCTGCTGCATCATAAAAAGTATTTACAACTAAGTTATTCTAGATCAAATCTAATTGATTAAATCAGAATTCTGTGCAATGTTAATTAAAGTATGCTTTAGATTAAGCAAAGTAATTACATGAGCGATTGCATTTAATGGAATATTTTCATGAATCAGAATATTGCATAATAAACCTGAAAACAGCCACACTGAATGCCTAATATATTTCACAAAACAAATTGAGAACTGCTAAGACATCTGAATAATTCACATGAAAATAAAAGCAACTTGAAGATCTTCTAAAGCAGACTCTAAATCCTCATTTCCAATGTGCTGCCAATTCCCCCAATGTGTTTCTGTAGTTATGCCTTCTAGGACTGCTTCCTCTATCCCCAGGGAATGCCCTAAAGAAGTGCCTGCCTAGGGTATCCATCCTTGTTCCACCAGCCCGGGCTCAGGGAGGGAAGCATATCAAATGGTAAATCAAGAC